GTAACCCATATTTGAACACTACGTTGCACCTGAAATTGCAACATGTGCATTATAAGCTCAAAATGCTTTCTTTCATACAAATACACCAAAAAAAAATCCCATCAGCTTGAATGCATACTATTTCACAAGATGTAATTAAACAATATGAATGATATTAATGATACACTTACATGTACATGCAAATGCATGATCACTTTTTGCGCTTCTTGCTCCCAGCAACATAGTTTCCTTCTACATTTAATTTTGTTGCTGTTGTGAGTTTATATTCATATTTTTGTTATCAAACAGGAATAAATAAATGAATATATAAATACATTTGTACAATGATAGTTGTACAATGATGATAGAAGAACCAATGAAAATCGCAACTGATCTTCCTTAATTCCTTTTCTTTTCTTCCTCTTTGTTTTCTGTCCTTTTCTCTCCTCTTTCCCTTTCACTTCCCTTCTCCTTACTTCGCTCTCTCTCTCTCTCTCTCTCTCTCTCTCTCTCTCTCTCTCTCTCATTTAAGTTTGCTGAGGGAGGCAGGGGCCTTTCGCCCCCTTCTCCCCTCTCCCCGATCCACACGATGTTGGTGGGATTAATCACAAGTGATCTCTGCCTCTTTTCACCCTTTTCTTTTCTTCTTCCTCTTTTGTGTTCCATTTTGTCTCTCCTCTTTCCCTTTCCATTCTTTCTCTCTTTTTTTTGGCGGGGAGGGGGGGGGGCAGAGGCAAAGGCCGTTCTCCGCGATCCACATCTTGTTTGCAGGAAAATTGCAACTGATATCCCTTCTTTTCTTTTCTTCTTTTGTTTCTTTCCCTTTCCTTCCTTCTCTCTTGTTTTGCGGGGGGGGGGGGGGGGAGGCAACAGCATGAGCGTCAAGGCCCTGTCGGACCCCTTTTTCTTTTCTTCTTCCTTTACTCTTCTCTCTTCTTTCCCTTTCCCTTCTTTTCCTTCCTTCTCTCTCTCTCTTTTTGTTTGCTGAGGGGCCAGGGAGGGCAGGCGAGGGCTTTTCGCCCCCGATCCACACCGCGTTGGTGGGAAAAATCACTTTTGATCTCTGTACCTTTCTTTTCTTTCCCTTCCCCTTCTCTTCTTTTCTCTCTCTTTTAAGTTTGCTGTAGAAGGGGGGAGACAAGGGCCATTTGCCCCTCCCCCCGATCCCCAACTTTTTGGCGGGAAAACTGCAACTGATATCCCCCTTCTTTTCTTTTCTTCCCTTTATCTCGTCTTTCCCCTTTTTTCTTTCCCTTCTCTTCCTTCTCTCTTTCTTTTTGCTGGGGGGGGGGGGGGGGCAACAGCCTGGGAGGTAAAGCCCTTTCGCCCCCCCCCTCGATCTTCTTCTTTCCCCTTTTTCTTTTTCTTCTTCCTTTCCCTTTGTCTCTTCTTTCCCTTTCCCTTATTGTCCTTCTTTCTCTCTCTCTCTCTCTCTTTTGCTGAGGGGGGGGGGGGGGTGAGTGGCGAAGGCCTTTCGCCCCCGATCTCCTTTGTTCCCCCTTTTCTTTTCTTCTTCCTCTTCGTCCTTTCCCTTACTCTCCGCTTTACCTTCTCTCTCTCTCTCTTCATTTTTTGTTGGCGGTTGGGGGTCAAGGCCCCCCCCCCCCTTGATCCGCGCCGGGAAGACCTGTAGTGTCATCTCTAGCTAGCTGGCAAACCTGAATATGGGTTGTCCAGTCGTTTCATTCATTAAGTATATTTATACTTGTATTAAATATGTATACGTGTGGACTAGAGTACGGACATTCGGTGCGGCAGGCGGACTATTGGTGCGAGACCTCTTCCGCACAGATTGTCCGTCGGACATTTGAGGCGCGCACGGAATGTCCGACACGGACATTCTGCGCGGATAAAATCCGCACCGATCGTCCGCTCTCGATCGATCTCTAATAGGCGGACGATCGGTGCGGGTAACATTCTACGCGGTCACACCGTCTCCGTTGATTGCATTTCATCAGGGCTGTACTTGATAGTACTAATGGCCGGAGGGGGGGGGGGGTGGAAGGGAGGCAGACCAGATAAGTCGGTCGAACTTTTTGAATAAGTAAAAGAGAAAAGAATATGGTCCCCAGAAATTAAGACTCTAGCAGCTCCCCTTCACTTTATAGACGGATCCATTGTGACAGAATAGCCCCCCCCCCCCCTCATAATGGAATCCAAAATGCAGTTAAAGACTGTATATTATGCTATCTATATAGATAAAGTGAACTTTACTTTCGCAGTTTTTTAATATTCTACTCCTCCCCCCCCCCCCCCCCCCTCCCCTTTACAAGTCTGGATCCACCTTTGCATTAAACAATAGGTTTATGATTTTCGGCGCCATTAACATGTATCCATGAGTGACCTTGTTTTTCAGTCAGTTGGTGCCGATACAAATAAGACGGTGATAATTATGTTTCGCATAAGCTCTTGAAAACTAGGTGAGGACGCTGTTTACACATAAATGAGCCCTGTTGTAATCCCCTTCCAAACTGTCATTTAAATACACCTAACATTGCCTATTTACAGCATGCCTAAATTATAGCTTATTCTGGCTCTGAAATATAACCGGTTATCATGCACACAACATGAATACACATCCGACTGACGTGAGAAACATGAACCATACGAATCAACAGATGGCGCATATACAAGATCACCGACAGCTTGAGATTATGGTTATTATGTTTTCATTTCATTACATTTCATTTATTCCACAATAACAGCAAATAGATTTTACAAAGCTTTTCGTCTCACAAAAGTCATTCCAATAAGAATATTGACAAACGAGAAATATGCATTATGGTACGTGCAATGCAGTAAAAGTATACAAATAAGACTAAGAAGATAATTGCTTGCTGCATTGCGGAGGAAACCGAGGGTAACATAGCTTGTAATTTAGGTTCCCTAACATAAAATATTATAGTATCATAAAGTAGAAAATAAAAGGAAAAGAAAAGATGGGGAAAACAGATAAGATGCTTAATCGAATTGCACAAGTTTCACCAGAACTACTTTTACGGTATTAACAACAACAACAAATACAAGGAAACTTGTCCAAACACTACTATTTCTTTTTACAGTCTTTTCTTTTACCATTTGATAATTATATCTTGTGATATACGGTGCGTCCCAGAAAAAACGAAACCGAGAATTATCGATTATTTCATCATGACTTAGTCACATTTATAATTAATAAATGACACATATCTGAAAAGCTTAGATCCTCCTCTTTCGTTTGATGCAACTCATACGATGCATATTTCACGCATGAGTGATTAAAATCAATTTGAAGAGAGGAAACCAAAAAGTCATTTGGCGGACGGTATCCGAATTTCAAAAAAAAAATATATATATTTCTAGAAATTTCGATTTCTGCCCTCTCATATGACACGTCAATCAGGAAAAATGAGCAAGGAATGACAAAGTTCTGTTTGTTTAAAGTAGTGCTTTCATTTCCACAATTTGATCAAACGAGTTCGTTTTCACTGGCTGCCTGTCGTAGCAACAAGCAGAACTGACAAAAGACTTAACTCGGTTTCGTTGAAAACCAGCCATGCATGAAGTCTTTCGTCTCCGGCTTTCCAGGTATGTGTCATTTACCAAATATAAATGTGACTAAGTTATGATAAAACATCGATAATTCTCGGTTTCGTTGTTTCTGGGACGCCCTGTATAAAAACATGTAATATTTTTATAGTACAGTTTTACGGCCTTTCTGGTAAATAAATATCCGACTGAATGTAAGTTGCGTGATGAATAAAAATTAAATTCACCTTGATAGAGGGATCTGACTGCCAATATGATTACTACCGTATTTGAAGGAGGGAGTAGGGGCACGCAGTTTGCCCCATTCCCTGACTGGGGTAGTGAGCACTAATTTTATTGGGGGCCCTCGAAAATTTGAAAAATCGCACCCCCCCCCCCTTGAGCGCCAGGGGAGGGTGCCCATCTAAAAAAAAAAAGAGGTAAAATTAACGTGTTTTACACGTTTTTTTCCCAGGGGAGGGGCCCCCTGGATCCGCATTAATCCTCATTACCAGGTCTCTCAGAAAGGACCTAAAGCCGTCGGTCCTCTGGTTGCTTACTAACAAGCTTGTATGCTTTCTTAGCAAATGAATGTAGTAGTAGTAGTAGTCTACTACTACATTCATTTGTGTAATACCATATACACAGACATACTGGAAAAAACAGCCCTTTTGGCTGAAAGTATTTTTTTTACCATGTCTAAATAAAATCAACCATAACAACAACAACAACAACAACAGCAACAACATCTGTACAACATGACATGAAATTTTTCTAGGCAGCTCTGAGATGCTGCTGCACAGAAGAACTGTCGAAGGTCATCACGCTGTGTCCTGGTCAGTTGTACTGGATCATCAGCCATCTTACCACCAATAAGAACAAGTGATGCGCTCTCAAAGGTTGTACTCTGGTTGTGGCGAAAGGAAGCCATCTTGGATGATAGCTTCTCCGATGTAAGTTCTTCTTCCGGAAAGTCATTAGCGATAACTCCAACTTTACTCCTTCCTGGTCAAATGAAAATTGTATATCCAATGAAGGTATTGTATTTTCCCCTCATTGAATTTCTGTTGTATTCGATGACAGCCTTTCATCAACCACAAGGAGTCAATATGACAATAATTTATAGATAGATATGTCGTGGTCTAGAGGATTTATTTCCTGACCATGGGTCAGAAGGAACGGAGTTCGGGTCCCTGTCACGGCACTTTGCCAAGACATTTAATCTAAACTAATTTGCCACTCTCCGTGAAGGTCAAATAAATTGGTAGATGGACTGGGAGTAGACCCTAATGGTACATTAATGTCAAGCGCTGTGTGAATATATTTTAAAGTAATTTTTAAACAATTTCTATGTAATACTTTCACGATGTGCTAATTTAAGACTTATAAATCTGCATTATTCTTATCTCTAGAGTAGAGTTCACTTATCATCACCCGATCCTGGTTTTCTTTTCTGTGTGTTTAATTTTGCTTGCTCCCTTAAAATATGAGGACCTCTTTTCTTTTTTTATTTTTTTTTCACTTGTTAGAGATCTGGGAATGTGATATGAAAAACACAATTTACTACTAGATTCATTCAAATAATTCTCAGGGTCGAAAAGGCGGTTTATTTTCTTCTCAGGGCCTAACAGCGAATCCTTACCCAAATACTTCCTGGCCCTCGGTAGGAATCCATCATAAAGAGCATCTGTGACATCGGTTATTGAGAATCGTCTGTTTTCTATGGAGTGACAGAGAAGCAGAACATCTATACCGCTCAGATCAAACTCGTCCATGTCTCTGACGTTATACGGAAGGGTCTCAAATCTCACAGTTTTCACAATACCATTCATGTGTTGTCTGATGAGCTTGATAAGACCTTCAACGTTTTTGGAACGGCTGCAACTACATACGGTGACATTCACTTTCCTTTTTGAAGAAAACAGCCGGGTAGATTCATCCTGCATCTAATCAAATTATATAAACGAGTGTGAACATTATGTTACGCTATTATTAACGTTCATTGTAGGCGAGCGAAGGGGGCGCCAAGGCTACCCCTCCCCCAAATCGTCGGAGCCTCTTTTGAAATGAGTGAGATACTCCCATTTATTCGCCAGTTTTAACAACAAAATCCCTGTGGAGGGAAACATATGGAGAAAAAAAAATGTTGTAGAGGTCTCGTGGTCGAGCGGATACCCGTGATCTGATCATATCGTTAGAAATATAGAAATAGACAAATTCTCCAACAATAATCATGCATACCTTGGATAGAATGATTTCTCATGGTGATCCTAAAGCTCGTCAAGAAGTTGCCCGAAGTAGCCATAGTCCAGGATTAACATGTAAAATACATTTCTGACTATTGCAATTTAATAACTAGTAAACATGAATGCAATACTATAGTTCACCACTTGACATTTGGGGTCTTTTGGGAAGAAGTACGCTTCAATTTAAAGACATGTTGTCAACTGGTATTTTGTTACATGAAGGATAATCCTACAAATTAAACGCAGACCAAAACAGTTTAACTCTGATTCCTAAACTTAAACTTAATCTTAAAAACACGTTAAGCTTACCAGTTCATATGTTGAAGCCATTTTTATCCACAATGTTCTCGGCCATTGTCATATTAGACTTTGCACCCTTTATCGTGCTACTTTGCTTGCATTGCTGAATGTCAATATGAAATTAATCATCATAGAACTATGTGCGTGGCATACTACTGTCGCATATTATTGTACATACATGTCAACAAAGCTACATTGGTGTATCCAGATATCTGTTATCGGGGTGGGGGAGTTGGATTGGGGGGGGGGGGACATGAATTGAGGAGGGGGAAACAGATCCCGATATGATTTCCTAGGTGATCCGGTTTTTTTTATCTGGTTCTCACTTGGCTATATACAATATCAGGGGGGGGGGGGGCAGCAATTGGACAATGTAGCCCCTAAAATTTGCAATGATAAGTTAGCGTAATGAAAATAGAGTGGCCACTTCGCCCCCACCCCTCGCTCCCGTCTTTTGCTACCCCAATCACTAGTTATACTTTAGAAAAATAATATTTTATATATTTTAAACAAAAATAAGACTCTCCCTGAAGTTATCTGCACATTGTGGTCTTTCGCATTTGGCAAACTATCATTACAAAATGTTCTTCTCTAAAGATGCGACTCAGGTGGGCTCGAACCTGGATCGTTATATACAAGTAGACGAGGGTCAACCGCGAGACCAAACACAGGGCTTTTTTCCTTCGAAGAGTAAATCTTTTATTTTTGCATACCAAATTATAAAGCTTGTGCATGAAATCAGTCGATACACTAGTAATTAAAGAAATGTTTGTAGCGCTTTAAATTTTGTTGTCTGACAAAGATTTAAAAAAAATTGGAATCAGGTAATGCGATGTCATGATATGAAAAATAAATGAAATGCGTTTGATTTTATATATGTACATTAAAACTGTAGAGTGAATTGGATCTTTTTAATATTAATCATGGCCAGGCGCGTACACAGGGGGGGGGGGGTTAACCCCCCCCCCCTCCTTTGGTATTTTTTTATGTATGTAAACCTCCCCCCCCCCCCCTTTGGTTTTTTTTTTTTTTTTTTAATTATTAAAAAAAAAAAAAAAAAAATATTCCCATGGCTGGCCTAAAAAGGTGACCTTACCCCCCCCCAACGGAGCCGACCAAAAAAAGAAAAAAAGTGTCCTCTTACCCCCCCCCCCCCCCCCCCCCCCTCTCCCGCGTCGTTATAATTCGCCGGAATTCCTTTTGAAACCAGCACAATGTAATGTCAACCAGATTCCGACACAGGTCACACAAATGTAATCAGGTAATGTAATGCTATATTAATTTCTATCGACGTGTATCATTTAACGAGGAATTCATGTATGCTTGAAGATATGTGTATAAAGTTCGGTATCTCTAGTGTGAAGATCGTCTTTCCACTTTGTGTATGAGCTTCCGAAATTATGTGAGGCTATTTTCAAAACAAAACAAAAACTCTGAAATTGAATGAATGGTTTCTGTATAATCACCTGATCTGAAAACAGATTACTGTATACATAATATGTTATACGACATTATAAATATGCAACAGTATCTTGTTGAAAATGTCTAAATTTATCACGAGGATACAAAACAAATTGTATTATTGTATACATGTTTATACATATTTTCTTCTGTGTTTTGTTCTGTTACTGTTATGAGTTTATATTCATGATGGTTATTGTTTTTTTTTGTACATGAAATTGTATAGTCTTAGGCATTCATGGTCTCTTGAATATGAAAGACCATATCACTCTTAGTAAAAATGTGCTACCCTGTATAAATGTTAGAAATCATACAAAACAAAACAAACAAACAAACAAATTAATGTTAATACAAATGTATATAAAATTCATTCGTTTATAGTCTTTGAATGAAATCTTGAATCAAGAAGAATATATTCTGAAAATTTTATAAACAACACATTTCATGAATGAAGAGTATTTTAAGAAGACAAACTAGTAAATCAAGGACATAATGTAAATACACTGTTTTCCATAAAGTTGAAATAAGTTTTTCTCACCTCTTTTAATGAAATGATTGTGACTATAGGCCTATGGCATATTTTTGATAAAGTTTTTATATTTTCAGAAATATATTGATCGATAACTATGACACATTAGATTGGTCAATAAAGTTTAAGAAAATAAAACAAATACCTATCAAGAATAAACCATATTGTCACAATCAATCCATGAAAAAAGTGATGTTATCAGTCCAACTTTATGGGCGACAGTGTAAACAATGTGTATCAATAATAATGCTATACAGGAAACCCATATTCAAAAAAAATTAATTCACAATCGAAAGAGACAGACCATGAATGTCGAATAAAGATACCATAATCTCTTTGAAGGGAATATATCTAACAGTATATAACATTGTGTAACGGAAATCTAACAAAATATCGTTACACGTGGCTTAATAAAAGGTATTTGACGTATATAATCATATCTGTATTGCACATTTCATGTTTCTATCAACTGCTTATAGAAACATTATAATAAAGACAGTGATTTTTTTCTTCAGTTGAAAACGCGACGTATAGTTCGAGTGAAACATCGTCAAGACGGCATCTCGTAGTAATACATTGTGCGCATGAATGGATCACTTTTCAAAATACACGATGACAAAAACTGGACATATTTTCATTAAAATACATGTACATTAGTGATACATAACATTACTGCTTGTGTGAACAACTGTCAATAATTACAGTTTACAACTTAATTATGCACATACCCCTTGTAAATTTGATGTTTATTTAAAAAAAAATTAAACTCAAGAATAAATGTGTAGAATGATTGGTAGAAAGGTAGACAAGGTGGACTGGTTGAATTAGGGTCTTTGTTTAACACTTTTAGATGTAAGTTTCAATATATCACATTCTCAAGAAAGATTAATCGCACAAATAAATTGTTCACATACTTTAACAAATTACGATTCCTGAACTGGCTATTGTTCGCAATTACACAATATTATACCAAAAACCAGTATGCAGTCCTTCTTTATCTACAGTGCATTGCAAGATCATATAGGCAGTATTGCTTTTAATGAATGAGACCATACGGTGTTTCTGGAGCGTTCACACACTGTAAAAAAAATAATAGTCGAAATAACTCAATAAAATTGAGGAAAAGAATTGCCTTATTTTTATTAAGTAAATATTACCTACGGCATCTTAAGTAGTATTTAGTTATTTTGCTGAATAAATTTTTACTCAGTTAAATCGAGTTACATTAACGTAAATAATTTAAGTATTGTAATCATTTTAGATAATTAAAAAAAAGCTACGATAGGATTACATATTGCACGATTTGGTACCCATCTAATCTAACAAGTAGCATCCACTAATCACTAACACTACTTCTATTTAAGATTTAACCGTATATATATATATATATATATCTATCACCATCACAAACTATTACATACGCTTCAAATCGACACATATTGAAAGGCTCCAAATTTTATATATACTTGATCGTAGCATCTTAAAAGGAAAATTGGTTGACAATTTCCTGAAATATCAAGTTTTGATTTGTTTTGAACTGGGTAACAATTAAAAATTGTCTTGTCTTTGCTTAGCCATGTTAAATGAATTAGTAAATGTTTTAAAGTCCTTAAATTTTCATTCAACCACAAAAAAGGATTGTTTTATTTACAAAAGAGTTTAATTTGGTCTTAATGAATATTCATAAATTATGTAAATATTTCTATTACGCACTGCATCGGTCCTTACTTTAAAAAGATAAGAATAATCAACATAAATTGTTTGAGTAATACGTATAGTTTCTGATTTTGAGTTAAAATTACTAAATTAATACAAGCTGAAATTACTTAAAGTTCTTATGTATTTGAGTTTACTTAAATATTCCACGTATGTTCTACTAAATTGAAAGTTTGAGTTAGCAAGACTTAAATTTAGTGCGTAAGTGGCAAAACTAATGTTTTCAAGTAAATTATACATGGAAAAAATACGTAAAAATTACCAATGAACAAATTCTTTTTTACAGTGCATCAGATAGTAGTGCCCATATGCATGTATGATTTGAGTTCATTTAGAATCATTTGCATTCCATTGAATCTTACACTTTTTTCAATAAATACTGCCGTCAATGCTAAAATATCATTACTCGTCATGCTCTTTACAAACAAATACGGCCTTTGATATTTAGATCTAGTCAAAAGAATGAAATTAAAGATCATTTGATAAGCCATTCAATAGCACGTCAATGCGAAATGTATGTTTTTGAATTTACATGTTCTTCACAAGAATGCGACCATTAATGTTTAAATACAGTCCAAAAAATTACACGTAACACAATTTCACGTAACAAAATTACACGTTTACAAGAAGATTACACGTAAAAAAATGGAAGGCTTTGTGTAACCAGACTTTTAGTACTTCTTGAGCCGGTGGAGATGAAGCGTTGCTAAAGAACTCCTGAAGTTCTTCAAGTTGTTCATCGTTCAGTTGTACCTCATCATTGATTAGCTTACCACCAATAAGAACAAGTGATGCGCTCTCAAAGGTTGTACTCTGGGTGTGGCGAAAGGAATCCATCTTGGAAGATAGTTTCTCTGATGAAATGTCACCTTCTGGAAAGTCATGTGCGATAACTCCAACTTTACTCTGACCTGTTTTAAGAAAATACAAATTATCGTGATGTTGGTCTCCTTAAAGATACTATGTTACATTTGCAGGCCTGAAAAATGAAAAGGTTAAATTCCAACGGCATTTGAAAGATAATACTTATTTAGAACTTCCCTATAAAAAAAGGGGGCTTGAAAATGGTAAAATAATGACCATTAGTTGTCGAATCGATTTAAGAGCCAGTAAGTAACATTCTGATTTTCAGACCATTGTACCGAATGGTCGCACGTTTTATGCTGCGCAAATATTCACTCAGTTTAATTTTGGCCATTACAAGAAGTGGGTTATAAATATATAAATAAATAATATGGTTATTTATATAGCGCCGGTATCCGCCAGGTTCTGATGTAGACAAATGCTCATGTACCATTTACAGCTCATTTTATACATGTTATTATCACAGAAGAAAAAAGCCAGTCAGTCACTCAGTAGTGTCTGACAGTGAAGTCTAGCAAGTAAACGGGCTTCCTTACATAATTTGAATATTAGGACACTGCTAACGTCTGAATTTCACAGATAGGACATACATGACATATTCATACCGTAATTCCTGCAAAGTTCTACAGAATGTGATATTGGCTGCAAAAGGGACATAGTATCTTTAAAATATTATTTCATAATTGTATGTAATATGCATATTTCTCTCACTAAGATGTAGTTAAATAATGCTTTGAAGAAAATTCAGAAATAGTGAAGTGTGCTTATAATGGCCCCCAAAATGTAATTTCTTTGGTTTAACTTACAGACGTTCCTTTGGAAAACGCACTTTCAGAAAATAAAGATAAAGATGCCTTTTAAAGAATTTCGTTTTCTAGGAAAAATAAACCTACATACACACGTGGCATGCCTTGGTAAACATTTTACTCTAATGAAACGTTGCTATGTCGTGGATGATGTTTACACGACACTATTATTATAATAGTAAATACAGCAATTAATGTAGTTATTACTTTATGAAAATAATATTTTACACGTCAGTCAAAGTAGAAAACAGTAGATTGAAAGAAGAAAACCTATAGCAATACCTCACCGAGATGTTTTCTTGCACGCGGTAGGAAGCCATCATAGAGAGCATCTGTGACATTGGTTATTGAGAATCTTCTGTTTTCTATGGAATGACAGAGAAGCAGAACATCTATCCCACTCAGATCAAACTTGTTCATGTCTCTGATGTTGTAAGGAAGGAACTCATATCTCACAGTTTCCACCACATCATTCATGTGTTGTCTGATGAGTTGGATAAGACCCTCTACGTTGTTGGAATGGCTACAACTACATACGACAACGCTCACCTTCTTTTGTAAAGGAACTAGCTCAAGGGAATCCTCCTAAAGTAAACAAAATTAATATAGCGATGTTAGATGTTAAAATCAGAGGCAAATCCAGGATTTTTGCAGGGGAACGGGAAGGCCGAAAATGTTATCGAACAACTGACAAGCCCCTAACAACAAAAACAAAGATCGTCAACTAGTTGCTGTGCCATTTTCTTCATCATTTGTCCCTTCACTTTGTGTGCTAGTATGTGGGGGTGTCCCAATTAATGGCCTTCTCCCCCTAGGTCCACAAATGGGAAGATAAAAATCATCTTTGATGGTGGCTTCTTTTTCTTTTCTTTTTTCCTTTACAATGTCTATTATTAATGACTGGGAATTTCCATCAACCTTTGACAGACAGCCAAATTAAGATCGCTCTCGATTTTAGTTTGTCAAGCGTCTGTATGGAGAAAATGATAAATGACATGTAATTTTTTTTCCAATAATTGTTTGTATTGATTCCAAAACAATACAAATCATTCTTAGAGATACAGTTGCTTTTCATCTTGACATGATTCAATACATAGATTGCACGATTGGTGAAAAAAAAAAGTTGTAACATAAAACAAATAACCCCATCCAACCAAACACACTACTACCCCCCCCCCCCACCATGTGACAAAAGACATACACACACGAAAAAACGTCAACCCGTTGCTGAGTCATTTCTTCCCCCTTTCCCCTCTTTGTGTGTGTGTGTGTGTGTGTGTGTGTGTGTGTGCGTGTGTATGGGGGAGGGGGCGTATGCAGTAAGGAGGGACAACGGTATTAAAGGGATTACATTTGGAAAATCTGAAATTAGGCAAGTGTTATATGCAGATGATATGACAATATTTTGAAGGATATTGATTCGGTTAGAAGGTTGCAATATATTTTTGAATCATTTGAACAATTAGTGGTCTTAAAGTGACTAAAACAAAGACACATTTTATGTGGATGGGTGAGGATGAGAACAAACCTGATGGGCCTTTATTTGGAAATTTGGTTAAAGAAATACATATTTTAGGGGTTAGTTATTCATTAGATCGAAGATTAAAAGATGATTTGAATTATAAAGAAATTCTAAGTAAAATAAAAAATTGCTTGTATGGTGGAAACAAAGATATTTAACTATTATGGGTAAAATACATTTGCTTAAAACTTATGCGCTTTCAAAATTAAATTATATTTCATCTCTCGTTATTGTCCCTCATTGGGTATATAAAGAAGTTGCAAACATTTCATTTGAATTCATATGGAGGGGGAAAGATAGAATTAAACGGGCAATAATGTATCAGGATTATGACTTTGGAGGATTAAGAATGATTAATTTTGAAATGTCCAATAAAATACAGCGCATAATGTGGATAAAACGTCTTTTATATGGAGAGAAAAGTTTGGGATGGAAATTGTTTTTTGATCATTGCTTACAGTTTGTGGGTAGTAGATTTATTTTTTTATGTGATTATGATTTAAAAAAGATTAAACTCGTTTTAGATATTCCACCATACTATATGGAAATGTTGCAAGCATGGCAAGAGACAAGTAATTTAAGATATTTGGAGGGTTATATTAATCCAATTATTTTCAATAATCAGAATATATGTATAAATGGAAAAAGTATATTTGATAGATACTTGTTTGAAAGAGGGATTGTTCAACTGAATCATTTGGTTGAGAAAGGTCATGTTTAGTCTGTTAAATATTTTATGAACCTCGGTATGAAAGGTAATAATTTGCTTATGATTATTGATATTTATGATGCGATACCCAGGTTATGGAAGGATGATTCAGGGTTAATAGAATTCCTCGAGGTTGATTTGATAAGCTTTAATACTTATTTCCATATTTCTAGTAAAAAAATACAGTTTGTGGATGTGGGTTCAAGAACAATCTATGATTATTTTATCAAAGCACTGCAACAAACGTATGATTTGCAGGTAAGGGATGGGCAAAATGATTATGATTTTATAGATAAAGAATTAAAAGAAATATTTGTTAGACCAAGAATTACTATACTCATTAGAAAACAACGTGAATTTCAATTTAAATTATTGCATGGAGCCATATACACTAATGAGCATCTTCATAGATTTGGTTTTGTTGGTGATAATTTATGTTCGTTTTGTAAGCAGGAAATAGAAACATACAAACATTTATTTTTATCTTGTGGGAGCGTTCAAAGGATATGGCAGGCTTTAATACAACTTTTTGAGTTAGATAAAATTAAAGATTTAGAATGGCGAGATATATTTGTTGGGTTGGTAGGTAGTTCATATAGAATAAAAATGTGTAATACCATCATTTTCATGGTGAAGTATGTAATATTTATGTCAAGATCGGGGGGGCGAGTACTAACTTTAGAAAAGATGAAAAAAAGCATTTTTAAGTATAGGGATGAGGAAAAGAAAATAGCAATTAAAATGGGAAAGCTAGGATCACATTTCTTAAAGTGGGAGCAGCTTAAGATTAATTAAGATTTGCTTTCTTCTCCACCGTCAGCCTGTTAAAAGCGTAACTCGATTTTGCGGCCTGGATAACTTATTTAGTATATTTTTCTTGAGTTGAGAATGTTGGCAGACATCCACTGAGTGAGTACTGTGTGTCTGTGTGTGTGTGTGGGGGGGGGGGGGTGAGTATGTTTGTGTGATAGAGGGTGAGTATGTTTGTGTGATGGAGGGGGCAGGGAAGGGGCAGGATTGTTTCAGTAAAATTACCTCCAGATTTGTTTAAGTTTTTTTTTCTTTTGTAATATATAAGTAAATAACATTTACAATTGACATATTATGTTTAGGTACTTATACGTTTACTTTGTTGCTAAGTTATATTATACTGCAAATAAGTTTGTGTTTAATTATGTTTATGTCAAAGCATCAATATTGAACACGTTTATTTTATTCAATTGTATGTCATGGTTTGTATTACACATCTGGAGAAATAAAACAAAATTGTTAAAAAAAAAAAAAAAAGTGTCCCCTATGCCCCCAGGTCCGCTACTGGGAACAGCATTTTTGTTTAGTGTAATAATGTTTATAATACTTATGGTGGCTTCTTGAATGGTATCTGCTCTTTATAAATGTACGTATATTATTATTCTTTTAGAGCGCTGATGTCCATTACGCCATGATGTGAAAAACCTGTAAGAGAAAGCAGTGTTGTGTTCTAATTGTACAAAATGAGTTCTTATCAAATGTGCAAATGTTCGACCTGCTAATTGTAATGATCCTAGCGAGAAATGTGTTAATTGGCAGTGTACACGATGTTTATTTTCCCAATTACCTTTTCTATATGATACAGATTATGAACAAGAGACAAACAAAGATTTGTCTGGTAGTAATGTTAACATGTCAAATCAAGATGTGGGTGAGTTGAACCATGCTGATTTTACATTTCCCAGTGAAAGGGGGCTTAAAGTTGCTCATTTAAATGTAAGAAGCCTTCGTAATAAACGGCTGACATAAACTGTTTTGTAAAACGCTATCATTACGATTTGATATCGTTATCTGAAACATGGTTGGACGAGACTATTGGTAGTAATACATGTTGTATAGAAGGTTATAATCTGGAGAGGAAAGACAGAGACTATTTAGGAGGAGGTGTTTGTTGTTACATTGTAAATAGTGTACCTTATATAAGGAGGCAAGATTTAGAATGCGAAGGCTTAGAATTACTGTGGATTGAATTAAAGCCCATAAATGAAGCTAGTTTGTACGTGGGCATTAAATATAGTAAACAAAATTCTTCCGTATCCTTTTTCGAAGAATTAGAGGAAATCTAGATCAACTATTTTCGCTCTCAGATAGAATAATACTGCTGGGTGACTTGAATTGTAACATGCTAACAGTTAATTCTTTGTCCAATAGGTTAATTGAAATTGGTGAATCTCTGGGTTTAAAGCAGCTCATTAACAGGCCAACTCGTGTGACCCCTTAAATTTTAGTAAAAGCCTGATTGATCTGATTTTTGTATCAAAGGCACTAGGAGAATTACACTCAGTTGTACAGCCTATTGGGTTTAGCGACCATTTCTTAGTATATGTTGTTACAAAACTAAAAACATCCATTTCGATGCCTCAAATTTCACGCTTTTGGTCTTTTAAACTTTTCAAGAAAACAAAGACTAGTCACGAACTAAGTAACTGTCCACTGTTTCCAAAGGACAGTCCACTCTCAATTGATGGAATATCTTCATAATGAAGAATTAATGTCAGATCGGCAGTCCGGTTTTAGGAGTAAACATTCCACCTCAACATGCTTAACAGAGATTTGTGAATTGTTATACGATAACCTTGACAAAGGGCGATTTACCGGTGCTGTTTTCTTAGACTTGAGAAAGGCGTTTGATATCATCCCCCATGATCTTCTTATTAAAAAAACAGGTTATTTCGGCATCAGTGGAACATAATTATCATAATTCTTTGTACGCAGATGACACTGCCATTTTCTCCTCTGGTTATGGAGTACAAGCTGTTCAAACCCAGTTACAAAATGACATACAAGTTTTATGTGAATGGATGAATGAAAATGGACTAGTTGTTAAAGGTAAAGACCAGTATTGGAAACGCCCCAATTTAAAAAAAAATGAAATGGAAGCTCTTATTACCAATCATGTGAAAGAATATGTTTTGAATATTACATGACGATACAATTTTTTTTATAATTTTGATGATTCCATAACCTTGCAGTACATCTACGCTAGATGATAAACCTTTTCTGATCGATTTCACAACGTTTCTTTCACTATGCAATTGCATGACCATAACTGGTCTTTAGCTTTAACACAGACAAAACTAAAGTTATGTTATTTTCAAGTCGAAGGAAGAGAAATCCAGTCAAATTATAGATAAAATGGATGGTAAACTTATAGAAAATGTAACGAAATTTAAATATATCTGGGTGTTATTGTAAATCAGAACTTAGATTGGTCTCCCCATGTCAATGATTTTGTTAAAAGGATTATGAACTCGCTTTGCATATTTATGGTAATTTATGCAAACATGGTCATAAAATCACATTTTTACCCAATAAATCATGTATTATTCATATTCAAGCATTCTTTTTCACTACATATATTCATTAGACCATTTGGAATAATAATACGACAACAAAATTTGAAAGAGCCAGCTTATTCCTTATGTTATCTCTTGTTTTGATAATTTCTTATGTATTTCATTGTTTTTTTAACTTATGTATTTTATTGTTTTTGTTGTTTTATTTCATTTCTTGTAATTCAACTATTTTGACTCCAAAAACACCACCTAATCTTTAAACAAGACCCAATAACCATTGTTTGATCTATTTCTAGGAAAAATGACATTTCCATATGTTTTGTACACAAATCACAAAAATGAGCGATTTTCGGGCTGACATGCAAAAACAAAAGGGCACGTGATCTTGTAACTGTAGGTTGTTTTTTTTAAAGATGCGCAAGACTCTAAAGAAAAAAGTCAGCGAGCGGCGGGGCGCCATCCATATGCGTTCCCAAACAATCAGAAAAATTGTGGAGGGGGGGGGCATAATGCCCCCCGGCTTTATTAGGGTTAAGCACTGTTTGACAAATCGTGTATTTACTCATTTATACTATTTTTTAATTCTTCCTCACATTGATTATTGTTCAACTGTTTGGGGATCACTGAAAATGAAAGATTTAAAGCGCCTACAGAAATGTCAAAACAATTATTGTCTTTTAGTATTAGATGCACATTATTATACGCCTGTACAATCTATGTTAAATTCTTTAAAGTTGCAATCCGTCAAACACAGATTGGAATACATTATTATCAAGTATTATGTATACAATCCTGAATAATCTTGCTCCTGTTTATCTAAAACAAGCTCTACCTCAAATTGCTAACCTGTATCCCACGAGATCAGTTTCAATGCATCAATTGTACCTTGCCAAACCCAGAACCAATTTTAAAAAAACAGACCTTCTCGTAATAATAATAATAATATTTAATTTTTTTTTATAGCGCTTGATACAAATGTCTCTAAGCGCTTTACAAATATACTATAGTTATTCAACTCACTACCCATACTTACCAAATGTTCCGCCTCACTACCCATTTTTAAACGAAATGTCCGTGAAATTCAAGTGAGTTAACTTTGCGATCGCTTACATGAAGTATTCCTACCACCCTCTCTATCTCTCCCTCTTTCTCTCTCTTTCGTTTACTCTCTCTCCTATACCATTTTCATCTAATTTCCTATTTGTATGAATGTTTGATAGTTTGTTTATATTATTTTTTTTTTTTTATTGTATATTTTGTGTATTTTTATGTGTATTGTAAGATATTTGAAATGTAATTTGTTTGTTACAGCAGGGCTCCCTTGTAAAGCAGGCATTGCGGCTTGAATGGGACCACCCTACTTTTATAAAGAAGACACGAATGAATAAATAAATAAATACAATAGGCCTATACGTTTTTTTTTTGTTAGCCTACAAAACGTACAAACATGATTTTTGTTTTCTCTCTCTCAAAATCGCGCAGTGTTTGGCGATGGATAATAGGTCCATGGTTTGATGGCATTCATTTGTATTATCATTGAAATACAATTCCAATCAACATTTTTATAGTCCCGAAATTATCAACAATAGTGGATAATGTCAAGAAAATAATACAAGATTAACAAAACTAGTAACGCATACCCAACTAACCAAATGTTTATGTCGGTGAAAAACAAACACGCATTATTTTTTACCTTTCTAGACAATCTAGATCTGGAATTGTAAGCCATCATGCCATGTCTGTTCGTGCTGTTTTCGACGATGTTGCGTTGTTGAGATTGGTACACTGTTGAATGTATGGTTAAATGTCAAGTGTTATGCTGAGTACAAACACGATAGAACATTAACATTCGATACGCATGGATAACATGATCACGTGCAGTGCCAGCAAAAATAGCGTGGGAATCCCCAGCAAGACTTAGTGTAATTGTACTTGTGAATATCCGGGATGGCGAATTCGGAAATCCTCCCCCCCCCCCCCAAAAAAAAAAAAAAAAAATTAAAAGGGAAAGGGAACAAAAGAGAGAAGAAATGCAAAGAGAAAGGAAGGAGGATAGGGGAAGAAGAGGACGAACAGAATGAAAGAGGAGAGAGAGAGAGAGAGAATGTTTGTTGCGTGTATCTAAGGGTATCTAATGGGCACATTTATGCTTGCCCGCATAATATTTCCAATTTCAAACTCAAAGAAAGTGAATTAGGGCCTACCCCAAAAATAGGGTAAGGGGAAAAAATCAGTTTATTCTGGTAAACGTGTTCTTTCGTCATCAAAATACAGTATATAGAAATTGTCGCTACCCGAATGGTGGTAGTTTCACGAATATCTAACTTTGATGATCCTCGGGGTGCTACACACACCGCCAGCACCAGCACCACCATCATCACCATCACCACCACCACCATCGCTAACAACATTACCCCACTCCATTTCCCGACCACTACCACCAGTGGCGTACGCAGGATTTTTTTCAAGGGGGGGGGGGGGGTTAACATTTTGAAATCGGGCCGAAAATTTCGCAACGACTCAGCCAGCCGCTGAATAAGCGGGGGGTAATAGGACACTATTTTTTTTTTTTTTTTTGGGGGGGGGGGGTGGGGGGGGGGGTCACCCTCAAGGTGAATACTTTATCCCGTGTCGAGGTCTGCTCCTTCGCTAGTCTCACCAATCAAAGGCTAATTTCGAATGGGATGTCATCTTGTTATATTCCTCACCCCCAAGACCCGATCTGAAAGGGCATAGAAGTTCAGCTCTGGAGTAATTAATACCTCAATATAGTTCAACAAGAGCTCCATCTCCAGAGTCTCTTAGTTGGTGTTCAGGCTAAACCCGTTTCGTCACCCAGTCGGTCACTTGGAAACAATCATGAACGCCTGAAACTACTACCCCATTCCATACTCGTTGGGGCGCATTTCCAGAAGAAGAAAAAAATTCAGATGATGACGTCATTGTTTACTCTTAAATAGGTTTAACAATGATGTCATCTTTCATATGCCTGTCCATCATTCATTGCGTGGATCAGGCGCGGATCCAGGATTTCTTAGGGGGGGGGGGCCCAAATTTGAAATTATGCGAGCCAAATATTGGTACGTTATATTGACCAGCAGTGACGTAATGCGGGAGGGGGTGGGTGCAGGGAGGGGCGAGTTCCCCCTCCCTTCTGACGTTTCATTGAATTATTAGAGAAAGAAGACGTTTCGTTGTACCGTTTTCGAAAATAATCCTCTTCTAAATTCAGTTTTTCCCCGCCCGCGCAAAGCGCGGGAGCTTTAAACGATTCGTTAAACCATTATAGAAAAAAGACGATTCGTATACAGTTCTCGACTCTAAATCCTCGTCTGAATTCAGGTCCCCCCCCCCCCTCCCGCGCAAAGCGCGGAAGCTTTTGCGATTCATTAAAAGCATTAGAGAAAGAAGACGATTCGTTGTACCGTTCTCGATAATAATCCTCGTCTGAATTTAGTTTCCCCCCCCCCCACTCCCACGCGAAGCGCGGAAGCTTTTACATTTTATTAAATCATCAGAGAAACAAGACGATTCGTATTACCTTTCTCGACTCTGAATCCTAGTCTGAATTCAGTTTTTTCCCCTACCGCGCGAAGCGCGGAATTTTTGACGTTTCATAAGATTATGAGAGAAAGAAGATGATTCGCTGTACCGTTCTCGACTCTTAATCCTTGTCTGAATTCATTCTCCCCCTCCCCTCCTGCGCGAAGCGCGGAAGCTTTAACGTTTCATTAAATCATTAAGAGAAACAAGACGATTCGCTGTAGAGTTCTCGACTCTTAATCCTCGTCTGAATTCAGGCTCCCTCCTCCCGCGCGAAGCGCGGAAGCTTTTAAGGTTTGTTAAATCATTAGAGAAAGAAGACGATTCGTTGTACCGCTCTCGACTCTTAATCCTTGTCTAAATTCGTCCCCCCCCCCTCCCGCGCGAAGCGCGGAAGCTTTAAGTTTCATTTAAATCATTAGAGAAAGAAGACGATTCGTTGTACCATTCTGGAAAATAATTCTCGTCTGAATTTAGTTTCCCCCCCCCTCCCGCGCGAAGCGCGGAAGCTTTTAGGTTTTATTAAAATCATTAGAGAAAGAAGACGATCCGTTATACTGTTCTCGATAATAATCCTCGTCTGAATTCAGTTTTTTCCCCTACCGCGCAAAGCGCGGAATTTTGGACGTTTTATAAGATTGTGAGAGAAAGAAGACGATTCGCTGTACCGTTCTCGACTCTTAATCCTTGTCTGAATTCAGTCCTCCCCCCTCCCCTCCTGCGAGAAGCGCGGAAGCTTTGACGTTTTATTAAATCATAAGAGAAAGAAGACGATGCGTTGTACCGTTCTCTACTCTTAATCCTAGTCTGAATTTCAAAGATGTTCTTTGTCTGCTCCTTTTTATTCCTACGCCCTTTTTCTTTTCTCTCCTCTCTTCGTTATTTTGACGGCGATTTTCGGGGACCGCCCCCACAGCCCCCACCCCCTGGCTACGCGCCTGCGGTCAGATAAACACATTTTGATAGCTTGTCCGACCCCAGAAGCTCAGGGGCTATAAATTACGGTCAGATAAGCATTCAGGGGCCCGCCTTAGGGCCCCTGGTTGGGTCGAGGCGGTGGAGCCCCCGGAGGCTCAGGAGTTTTAGACATTAAATTACCGTCAGATGAGCATCTAAGGGCCCGCCTTAGGGCCCTAGGTAGAATCCAGGGGCCAGCAGAGCCCTCGGAAGCTTGGGGGCTTTAGGCATTTAATCACGGTCAGATGAGCATATTTTGATGCCTCATTATTTTTTGACACTGGCAGTTAACTCTTTTTTCTTTCTTGCTCTCTTTCTTTTTTATTTTTCTTTAATATACCTTTTCAAAAAAGTGGGGGGGGGGGGGGGCTCGAGGCTCTCGATCCCCGCCGTCCCTCGGGCCCTGACATGTAGGAATCTCAAGAATCACATTTCTTGCCTGGCTGTAATTTTAGGAATTTGTCACATAAAAACGTATAATTTACTAAAAAGTGAGGAAAAATCTCTGAAATTATGTCATTTCAGCATTATTTGTAATCTACCGTTATGGAATTAGAAATAAACCACGTTTGAATTTGATTTCCCACAATCCCCCTACCCCCTATCAGTTCGCCAGTATCTCCCCTTTTTCTTTTTTCTTTCCCTTTCCTTCCTTCTCTCTTATTTTTGTGATGGGGGGGGGGGCAACAGCCTGGGAGGCAAGGCCCATTCGGCCCCCCGATCTTTTTCTTCCCCCTCTTCTTTTCTTCTTCCTCTTCTCACTTTCCTTTTCTCTCCTCTTTCCCTTTCCCTTCTTTTCCTTTCTTCTCTCTCTCTTTTTTTTTTTTTTTTTTTTTTTTGCGGGGGGGGGGGGGGGGGCAAGGCACGCTCGGCCCCCCCCCCCCCCCCTGGATCCGCGCCTGGCGTGGATCATGCCTGATCATGCGCACATCTGTCTTTTGAGTAGCGTACCGTCGTCTGCTACGTTATATTAGCTTTTCGTTTGTGTGGACGAGGACGGCGTTCCCGTCTACTTACGATGCGAATTGGCGTCAGACACCCGTCTTGTTCACGATGACGTAATGGCCCCCGCACGCGCTTATTCAATTTCTACTTCTTTCACTTCTTACATTATTCTTCGTTTATTATTCTATTATACCCTCTCTTTTTCCCCCATGTGTAATTCTTGGTTTTTTCCTTCTCTTCTATCTTTCCATTGTCTATTCTTTATCATTTTCTCTTTCTGTCTTTCCTAATGTTATTGTTTTTTTTTTCCTTCTATAACCTTTTCTTTCTGTCTTTCCTTATGTTATTCTATGTTTCTTCCTTCTTTCCTCTTCTCTTATGGCATTCTTTGTTTTTATCATTCTATCACTTTCTCTTTCTGTCTTTCCTTGTGTTATTCTTTTTTTTCCCCCTTCTTTCACTTAACCCCCTAACCCCCCCCCCCCCCCTTGGGCTGCTAATTGAAAATGTGATGTGCATAGGAAAACGGAAGAGAAATCTTTTAAGTGCTTCGCGGCTCGTGTACCGGATGCTCGATCCGCATCGTCATTGGGTCAACCTCCCCCCCCCCCCCCCCCCCCCCCTCCCCCAGTGGCGGATCCAGGGGCCGAAACGGCCGCTGCCCCCCTATTGGCGGCGCAAAAAAAAGAGAGGAAAAAAAGAAAAAAGAGAAGAGAAAAGTCGGGTTAGAAAGGGAGAAAGTTACATGGAAATGGGACTATGAGCGGAAAGAACATACATACAATATTGGCTTTGGCGTTTTCTAGAATGCATAATTTCAGCATTCAAAATGGCAACATCTCGCCAGATTGGTCGCTACGTTCCCTCGCCCAGGCGCGTACGCAGGGGGGGGGGGGTGTTTTGGGGGTTAACCCCCCCCCCCCCCTTGGCATTTTTTATGTGTGTATTTTTAAGAAAAAACCCCTAAAACCCCCCCTTTGTTTTGTTTAAAACCCCCCCCTTGAAAAAATCCTGCGCACGCCCCTGACCCCGCCAGATAACACGCAACTATGATACTCTTGCAACCCCTGTCCAGAATTGCCTAGTTTGTCTCAGTAAAAAGAAATACAAGCGGTCGCTAAGAAGGATTTGGTTTTAGATCTAATATACGTCTGCTATGTTCACGGATAGCTTTCAACCGACCAAATTTAAACTGCATTATTTACTATATACTCAATAATAAGACAACTGGAAGGTAATTGAAATAGATGTTTGTATTCATTTAAGATTCCTACATAATATTAACATGCAAATACTTCGAAGTGAAAATGTACTATGGGAAGGTTTTATAGATCCTGCATTTTTCTTTTTATTTCATAATTGTGTGCGCTCATAGGCGCG